ATTTACTCCCATATGATGATGACTATGTTTGAACCTGACCAGGACGCCTACTCTTGAAACCAACCAAAATGCCAATGCAAATTCAATTCAATAAAATCTCAACAATTACTTAAGTATTCAATGTCAAAACTATACAACCCGTATCGTAGATGTACAAATAGCATTCAGAGTACGGAATATAAAGCCACACTCAATACCATATGGTTCATTAAATATCCACGCAATAAGGATGCAATGGGCGCTAGTGTTGCACCAAGAATACGAAATTTTACAATAGGTACCAATGTCGATCGATCGGTATTGGATTCAAGAGTGGGCCCCCTGAAATTCCTGTATGAAGAGAATAATCTTCTAAATCCAACGTGAAAGAAGCCGCCAGCTGCAAACCAGTTTAAAATTAAAGAAATACAAAATACCAACAGTCGTATCTGATTATCGTCATGATAATATCCCATGGCTAGTGGTTCTTCGGTTGCACTGATGTAGACATTCATACCACGGTATCCCACTGTCTCTTTAAGAGCCTGAAATAAAACTTTACTAATTAAATTTCTTTGATGTTTTTAACACAAAATTATCGTCACGCCATTTTAAACTGTCAAACACCGCGCGGTCACCGCAACCTATTGTTCTTCAATTATGTCTATAATGACGGTACTCAACGAGTTAATCTCCAAAAAAGTGAGAATTCTATACATATGAGTATACAAAGTAACGCCCTCTTTCACCAGGTAAATGTGGGAGAGCCATGCTTCCGCACGAATGGACCGGTTCGACCGGAGTCCTTGTTGTTTCCGGTGTCCATGGGCAGGGCCGATTGCTTACCATCCTTCTGCTCGCTTACCGGCTTGTGCCATAAAAGAAAGTTATGTTAGAAACCTCTCTTAAAATTGTAGAAACCCCTAAACTAAAATAGGTGACACTTAATACCACTTTGGTTTTCACCAACCTATGAGTGACACCTAAACGTACAGCTAGGCTATTCTGTAATTTTCAATTCAAAGGATCGAAATGAACTCAATCACGGTCCTCCATGTCATTGGTTATGAGAATAATCTCGACCAATGTCGGGCGAGGATACGATCGAGCTCACTTCAAGAGTTCGAATTGACATAATTGAATAGCCTACCTGCTATGGGTCTAGTTTAAGTGTTCTCACGCGGTCTTTCGCGTTAAGTAACTCTTAGTTAAGAGGTGGTTTTGGAGTGGTTGGTGAAAACAGTCATATGTATCATGTATGTAGGCGGTTACCATAGCTATCGAATGTTCTATAGGCTTCCTATAAAGTTCCCAGTCTTTTCGGAGTTTCTGAACGCCCTCTGTAACAAAGTAAAATTATAATGAAATCGTACTGAAAGTACAATAAAGAAAGAACTCTCTTTAAAAGGAAGAAAAACATTACAACTGGGTGTTGTGTAACGTGCTGCAGCAGTAGTAGCAATACGGAACAATTCTTTATAAAATCTATAAATTGCCGTTTCAGGGCTGGGTGAGATGTATAATTATAAGTTTCTAAACGCACCCACGATACCTATAGCAATAAATCCTAATGTGGGACAACGCTTTTTTTTAAAATGGGATAATGACTAATTTTTCTTTTGGTGTCCGTCGTTTAGATTACCTAATTAAAAAAAAAATACGATTTTTATTTTCATTCAGAATCAAATGCTTTCGACTATATATTGATTTGAAATTTTGTGTGACGTCATGATTGAGCGATGACGAATCAATCATCTACACTTAAATTCGCTTAATCTAAATATTGCTTTCTTATAGACGAATAAAAATACGTGTTTAACTTTCATACATAGTTCATCATTCCCAGTTGCACTTTATAGTATAACTACTTGTCAACTGATGGGCTAATCGATTAAAGTTTAATCGATAACATCTTTCAACAGCTGATGCTGAGGAAAAAAGGGAGTTTGTGACAATGACATCTGATAGGACAACGGAAAAAAGCCTAGGAAAACATACCGACCCAACGGAATTTAGAATAAAGACAGGAAATTGTACCAAAAAAAAATGTGGGAGAGTCATGCTTCGGCACGAATTGGTCGGCTCAACCGGAATGATACCACGACCTCCCCAAATTCCCCTATCTCCGAATTTCAACAATCTTTAAATTCGTATTCTCAAATGGTCCGCAACGCACTTGTAACGTCTCTGGTGTTCCGGGTGTCCATGGACGACACCGACTGCTTACCATCAGATGATCCGTCTGGTCGTTTACCGGCTTATCCAACAAACAAATGAAAGTATTTTCTTACCACTTTTATAGTATTTGTGAATCGCGGACTGAATTGTGTCCGAATTGGCCTGATATATTGTCAAGCTAACAATAAAAAATATAATGTAAAACATGTCGACCACCTTCGCACACATTAGTTTTCTGTTGCTATATCTATCTCCTAAGTTACATAGGTACTCCAAAAATCTATTATCATGAGAAGAAAAACATAAATTACGCAACTTTTAATTGAATTTCCTGATTTATGGCTAAAAAGCAAATTGTTGAAGATAAGAATTGAAATGGTTCGCCCAACAAGGATTAAATTGATGTAAAAGTTAAATAAGAAAAAATGAGAAACTTGCTTCTAGCATATTTTATATGTGCTAATATTAATCTGGCAATATTAAACAATGATGATGGTGTGACTGGTTTAGGTGAAAACGGTCGAGCAAACAACGGGGACGGGGACGGGGATGGGGACGAGGACGAATATAATGAAGACGAAGGTAATCTGACTCTCGTTACAGGAGAGAACCAACCAACCCACCTTTCTGAACATATGCGTAATATATTTAAACGACTAACAACCTTATCACCTTATCATATTGATTAATCACATAAGTAACAATCTACTGTGTATTGTCTTTTAAAGCAAATTACCACCACCTACTCCTACCTATATGTATTTTAATATTGTTAACATTTTATAATGTTTGTATATACGTATGTAGTGTCGCGGTGGCTCAAAGGTTAAAACACCCGCTTCTCACGCATGAGGGTGCGGGTTAGAAACCCTTCCAAAAGGAAGTACCAATGTGACTTTTCAGAGTTATATGTACTCTCTATGATTAATTAACACACCACTGACAAACGGTGAAGGAAAACATCGTGAGGAAACCTGGACTTATAATTTCGAATTATAAGTGTGAAATCGCCAACCCGCATTGAGCAAACGTGGTGATTACTACTCAAACTTTCAACGTGTGAGGTGAAAGTTCCTCAGCAGTAGGCACATATAGTCTGTTGATGTATGACGATGGAATCCTTAAAAACCCTAGAGAATAAGAGAGGCAACCCTGGTTACCACCATCAGCAGTAGCATGATGGTGCACTAAATTAACTCAGTAGCATCATCATTTTAATCCAAGTCAGCAGCAGTATCAGCACCTTAAAGAAGTGCTGAGATCTCGAAATTAACCAGCTGTGGAACCCCTCTGTGCAACGATTGTTATGGCACATCCACAGCCAAGATCCCCTCGAGCCTCGCTGTGCACCACAGTACGTGGCACAAAGGGACTATAGGCTGCGCGAGATCGCCGCGACCGCGCATGCTGCTCATGAGGAAGAACCCCTCTGTGCGTGGGTGACCACTGTGCCTCCGTGACCATCTACTCTGAGGTCACTGAGAAGACGACTAACGTCCCTCTAAAAGCGCACAAATGGGACATTTCGTACCTTATACATAACTGGCATAAAGTAGGTGTTAAATCTAATACGTATACATTATATACTGTATTCGTATGTGACGAAATAACAAAAAGGATACTTTGTACTAATGCATAATATCTTGTATATCTGTTAACAGGACCTTCCGATAACGCCAATAACACACAGTCAAACAAAGATTGCTGGATGACACTGAACACTTCTCATCTATTTAAAACCATGGATGCAATTGACGGTAACAATAATTAACAACATGTATCTAAATACGACGATGAATGGAAGGGAAGTAAGGGATTACAATTTGGATGTGATAAAATATAATGGAAGCAAATTGGAAGTAGACGAGTACAGATGGATTACCAATGAGCAAATACAAAAATATTTAGCAATATTAGGTTTTATGAGTTCGAATTATATAATTTTTCAATGATTCACAGATCGTTACAAGGACATCCGGAAGAAAGCTCAAAAGTCTCTGATGAATACTCAATTTGAACAGAAAATGCTACGTGTACGTACTTTTAAATGTTAAACATAACATAACATCACGCCTTTAATGGGGGAGGGGCAGACAGAGGTGCATTACGGCACTTAATGCCAGTGTGTACACTATATGTTGTTTATCTTATAAGTCCCATGTAATAGGGGGGTGCGCCTTTTGCCTTATATCGGACACAATCAGACTCCGTGCTAGTACTAAGATTAAAAAAAACCAATAATGCTTTGCCCGACCCGGGATTCGAACCCGGGACCACTTGCTTAGCAGTCGCACCTGCGACCACTCGGCCAACGAGGCAATAAACTGTTAAATACACATAAATATGTAGGTACATTATTTTTTTATACAGCCGATCGTAGTACAGAGACAGTGTAGCTAATATTTTTGGTACGAATGCCTCAAAGGGTCTTCCTCTAAAGAAGTTCTGTTAGATTAAAGCACTATGAACATGTCACATAGCTAATTGTAGTTAATTATTACTACAACACAAGTTACGGACTTAATCTAATGACTAAGTCCCCTGGTGTAACCCATTTTATCCCACTGTATTCTTTTGGATTCTTTCGTCGTAAAAGACTCTTTCGTCCAAATTTTTTTTCACAAGAATTCTGTTTCCTATCTCCTTTAATCCACTTTAACTGAACATCTTGTGATCTTCCCCATACAGGGACTAATAAAGTCTAAGGGGGCTGCACAGCGTGAAGCCCACAGACTTACCCACACGTCGTGGACAATACCCTCGGGAATCAACTTCGGTGGCCAATGTATGACGAGAATGACAGACTCCTTATTGTAAGTAAATATCTACTACTTCCTATATCCTAAATGTTTATTTTTGTTTGTTCTATTTCACATAAATAAACGTTCTCAAGCTGAACCCTTCCCGTCGCGGAGAACCTAACGGGTTACCGGGGCTCCGGCTCGAAGTGCAGGAGAATGGACGGGGTAGTTTTTAGTCATTAAGAGTCTGACACTCCCTCCCTCCACGAATGACTTCTCCTGCCTCACCCTGGTGGGAGAAGTCAATCGATGATTCTCCCCCCTTAAAAAAGCTGACCCCTTCCTAATTACTAATACAGGATTAGCTACTTTATTTAATCAAAAATAGATAATTTCCATTATTCAATACAATCCTTACTAATATTATAAGTCGGAAAGTGAGTTTGTTTGTTCCACTTTCACGCCGTAACTACTAAACCAATTGTTTTGAATTTTTGCAGACGTAAAGTTAGAAGTCCGGATTAAATAATAGGGTACTTTTTATCCCGGAAAAGTTTGATATTCCCAAGGGAAAACAAACGCTGTATGTATTGGTATATGTCACTTAAGCTACTTTTTATCCTTTTGTGACGCGAGCGAAGCCGCGGATAAAAGCTAGTAAAACATTAAAGAATAATCACACTTTCATTATTTGATTTAATTACCAACTTCATTTTGGTATTTAAACAGCAAATTTTAATAAATAAATATGTTGTTTGACGTTTAAAAAATGTGACGCCACAATAGCGTACAAAATTCATAGAAAACTGTCGTTTTTGACAGTTCGAAAAAAAGTATTAAATTTGACTAGTGTGCAAGTACCCAATTCCTGCCCAGAAACTGTTCAAACACTTATTGTTTCTAGTAATGATTTTACCTTATAAACATTCTTAGGTTCTTTCACCGTATGAAGCTTCGCAACAACACTCGTTTCCGTGTGACTGGTATTTACAACGATATCTCCAATTTGGTGGTCTTGATAAACCTGGACCTACATGACCTGCACCTCCAAGGAGCGTATGACAGGACACTCACCGATACTGACCCTTCGGTCCTCATCTATGCGCCCAGTTTTGGAGAAGTGGAGTAAGTCCACGATTGTAATGGATTTCATATATCTGATAATAACATAGGTATGATGACCAGAATATTAAATTAGGTACATTGAAGAAAAAAGAAAATATGTAACTTTTTATTTTGGGATAAGCCAGTAAACGAGCAGACGGATCACCCGATGGTAAGCAATCGGCGTCCACGGACACCCGGAACACCAGCGGTGTTACAAGTGGCTTACCGGCCTTTTGCGGGTTAGGAGTTTGAGGATTATTGGGGATTCGGAGATTGGGGAAGGGGAGGGGGGGGGATAATTGGGCCTCTAGTAACCTCACTCACACAACGCAAGCGGTACTTCACGTCGGTTATGTAATGCAGTGTTACTAGGAAAAACAAATGAAATAGACAATAAAAAAATTGCCACCGCATCGTAATATGACTAAATAGCGCTCAGCTTGATATTGTGGCTATGGCCCGTGATGCCCAAACTGTGAACGCTCGAGTCCACGGCGTTGATTTTCATCAGTAGCTAATATATAGGTATCATACAAGTTGATATTTTGATGTGTGAAAAATTCAATTCAAGTTAGGTGTCTACACAGAATGTTTCAAATATTTATTCATTAATAATTTAAACCAATTTTAGGTTTCTTTTAAAGAATGTGGAATACAGAATGGAAGGACGATACAGAATAATTGAAAAACATCTGACTATTGAACTAGTCACTTCAGCAATTAGCGTCAAAGAAATATTAATGACGGTAGTTATAATACCTATGTTCTATAATTACAATTTCAATAGGGTAGATGACTTTTTTTATTTTAATGTCCGTCTGGTTGAATATTTAAAAACATTAGACACGTATTTTTATTTCCTTTTCTTACGGAAACGAATAGTTTCGAAGATATATTCATTTGAAATATCGCATGACGTCACTTTTGAGTACGATTACTACGACCTACGACTTATACTCTAAAATGACGTAGCTACCTCCCACTCGTAAACTTTGATTCGTTTTATCTAAGTATTGTTTTCTTATACGACAAAATAAAAAAATATATAATGTCTAAAATTTTTTCATTACCTAACTGACGGACTAATAACATTTTTAATTTTCATACCCTGTCATCATCCCTATTATCCTACATAATTATTTGGAAATAAAGTACTTATCTACTCTCGGTCTTAATGCTGCAAAAAATAGTTTCACTTCACAATGGTCACAAATGTCCTGGTTTTTTTAATTGTAATTTCTCATTTCTCAATCTCAATAATACTGCAAGGCCATGTTCACGTATTATAGTAGGTACACTTGTGTCCGATTAAAATGTATGTTAAATGCAAGTCGGTGTAAGCACGCATTAAAGATTGCCATTTAAACATGGCCTAAGAAGGTTATCAATAATTAGTTTGTTTTCATTTGGGGGCGTCCATAAATTTCGTGAGATGTAGATTTAGACTCAAATCTCATCTAATCTTACGTTGGAGAGAGGGGGGCCTCGGCAAATATCACGTAATTTTTTTTCTGATAGACACAAAAAAAATATACTATTTTTACCGACCGACCGACCGATTTTCACAATTCATTTATTCCAGATTGTACATGCTTAAGATTTAATTGTACATGCACATGGATTTTTTTTTTGCAATAACAACTTTTTGAAAAATCTCACGTGAGATTGAGGGGTGGAGGATGGTGTTGAATAAAATCTCACGAAATCTCACTAATGGGGGAGGAAGGGACAGACAATTAAAAAAAGCACTTCACGTAATTTATGGACGCCCCCTTTAAAGCATTTTATTTTTCTCTGAGCGTTTGTTATAAACAAAAGGGTTGTAAATAAATGTTTACTTAATACAGTTTTCATTTCATTTTCAGTACATAACTCAAGCCATTGAAAGTGCATCAATAACCGTAGAAAGGGACAACCTGGGTAATATTTCATGTATTTTGTTCTAATGTGTGATAACGCTACATGTTCAATGACTTAGTAGGCCTTAACTTTAATAACCTTGGCTATCGACTTATACATATGTACGTGTAAACGTACCCCTACGTTTCTACGTGCCATGTGATAACTGTGTGTTATGTGATAACCCCTAGTTCTCCCAGAGGTCTGGCAAGAACCGGTTCAAAGGACCGCGTATTGAAAAAGACCGGTCAACACGCCTCGCTGATAAACCTAAACCTTTTAAACTGGTATTTCCAAACCGCTTAACAAGCGTAAAGATTAAAAGCCTCTTGTATATAGAGGAGACCAGGTCTAGTAGTAAACTGTGATTGGCTGTTAATGCTGAATATCTGAAAATTTGCTGTTACCGCGCAGTTTCACCCGCACTGTTCGGTTCTTATTGGTCAGCCTATAACCTCCCTCAATAAATGCACTGTCCAATACAGAAATAATTATTCAAATCGATCCAGTGGTTTCGGAGTTTAGCGCGCTCAATCAAACAAACAAACGGTTTGTAGTTTAGGATCATAAAATTGTTACAGGTGCTTTCATGGACAGACTACAAAACGACTTGGATATGTGGATGAAAGATTACTTCAATGACTACTTGATAACCGTTGACATCGATGATATAGATAACATGAAGGATATGGTGTGGGTATAGCTAGAGATAATATTCAAATAAAGTCAAAGTCAAAGCATTTATTTCAATTAAACCATAGTTTGGTACTTTTGAAACGTCAACAAATACAAAATAAATAATAGTCTGTCAGTCAGTCCGTCAGTGAAGCTAGGTGAAGCTAGGTATAATACTTTAAGTAGTTCCCTTCAATTTCAAAAATTTATTACAGTTTTAAAACGCACACTTGAAAATCAAATCTAACATTATGATGTTTTTCACATAGTCTTATATCAGCTTTGTTTTTAATTGATTGTATAAAAACATGCAGAAATTAGGTATAATACCCGATATCTGACAATGGACTTACAATATGAGATTATGTTTATTATCGAAAATTGCATGTAAGTAGGTACATACCTGAATAATGTTCATACGTTGAATGGAGTACTAGCCTATGTCCCACAGTAGACGGGACAGGACAGATTATGGTAGCGAATGGCTTATCATAATTAACGCTAGAATACAGAGGCGTGCTGTGACGCCGCGAGAAGATCTTGTTGCCTTTAAATTGGGGGTACGTACCTAGGATGTGCTTGCCAAAGGTTTTCTCCAGATTTAGTCCACCTCTGGCCACGGTAATCCCAGCTGTAGATAGGCCACTTACAATTACTGACAGATTGACCAACAACTTCCCCATTAGGAGCAGCTTGTGCAGTTAAAGGTTTAATCCTTAATGTTTCGTTAAAGATCTCATGTATTGTGTTGTTTTCTTTATTTTTTAGAAAATACGACAAGGAGAAAACTGTAGCGTTACAAGAGTACATGGACGAATCTATAGACTTAATTAAAGCCAGAATACAAACACTGCGTGCCCAAGTTATCAAGATACCAAACTTCACACTAAAATCCATTCATGGCCTGGTATGACTGTACATTGTTTTATATGTTGTATGTCTATAACATCCTCATTTAAACTAGGTACTTCCCTTTGAAAGCCATAATGAAACTGCCTCATTATTAGGTACTCACTAAAACACTTTTGTGACTTACAGATAGCACTTGTAACTTACGAAAAGTGAATGCTACGTTTAGTATAATATTGAGTGTCCACTCAATTAAATTACATATATTCGATTATAAGCCCCTATTATAGCTTGAAACTAATCGAGCAATCCTCGAACAGTTCGTGAGTAAGCTGGATTGCAAAATTAATATAGGACTATTTAACTTTCATTTTAATAGGAAATAAAACTGTACGATGGAGCTCTGCACGGACTGGACTCCATGTACCGGCGATCAGTAGCCACTGGATTTAAAGTTTATGGATTACGAAAAGTCGACGCCATCGTCGGATTTAGTACTTTAAACGTGAGTATGGTGAATTTTGTCTACATTATCTACTCTAACGTCGGTATTAAAGTAGGTAATCCTGTAGTCAATCGCTGAAAAGGGTCATAAGGTTTTCAGATACCCCTGTTACTACTAAATGATTGGCGAAAAGCATAATTATGTTCTTGAATCTATTACATCACACTAATAAAGGACGTCAATAGCTGCTGTACATAAACCTGAGGGCTTAGTCTTGAATCCAATTTTGATCGATCGGCATTGACAATGTGAAATTTAGTACTCTTGAATTGCAACACTAACGCCCATTGCATCCGTATTGCGTGGATATTTTTTTTTTTTAAGGGGGGAAAATCATCGAATGACTGCTCCCTCCTGGGTGAGGCGGGAGGGAGTGTCAGACTCTTACTGACTAAAAACCACCCCGTTCCTTCTCCTGCACGTCGAGCCGGAGCCCCGGTTACCCGTTAGGTTCTCCGCGACTCCGAATCGGCATCGGCCCTACCTCTATATTGCATGCACTAAATTGTATTGAGTTTGGCTTAATATTCCGTACTCTGAATACTATTTTACATAGATGTATAACGGCTACTATTTGGGTTGTACAGTTTTGACTTTGAATAATTATTGAGAATTTATAGGATTGAAATTGAAATGACATTGAGATTGGTTTCAAAAGTATGAATCTCGTCTCCCGTATAATGCTATCCAATTTCTTTTATGCAAATTTTTGGAAAATACCAACCTGATCCGTTTGTTTATTCACACAAAATGCGTTTATCCGCACATATTACATTAGTTATTAAGTACTTTACGATCTTTAGATTAAAGTGCGTAAGTTTCATTTGTAGGTGGTTTACAAATATGAAGCAATGATACCAACGGGTATACCGCCTCTGTCTGGTGAGCTAACTATGACAGCGAATGAAATAGCCGCCCATCTTGCTCTGGTCGCGGTCGCCGACCCTGAAACCGTGGACTTGGACATCCGCTTCTTGGATGCAATGAAGTAACCTATTCATATACTTAATAATATAATGTCACACCATCAAATACCCTAATATGACTTTGTTATATTAAGTTCATAACATAACATCATGCGTTTTATCCCCGAAGCACCCACTTTTCACTATTTATGTTATAAGTCCCATGTGGATAATAAATTCCTTACACCGAAAAATGAGTTGATATTCTATCAAAAAATTCTTGCACTTGATGTCCTTTAAACTCGTACATTTTCTTTTTGTTTTTCCAGACCTGGATCTCTAACGGTTGAAGGTCCTGCAAACACATTAATATCAAACTTCAAACATCTGCTTGAACATGAGATCTTAACACTCATGTCGACGTCTCTAAAACATGGCATAGAGCTGCTCCGATCTCTACCTCGTTGTTGTAAGAATTACTTGTATTTAACAAAATTTTGCAACATTTACCTACTGCTTCTTGTGTACCAGAGCCCGAACTTCCTTTGGTTTGAATGATACTTTTTTATAGCATAAGCCGGTAAACGAGCAGACGGTTCACCTGATGGTATGCAATCGGCGCCGCCCATGGACATGGAACACCAGAGGCGTTACAAGTGCGTTACCGGACTTTTGGGGATTAGGAATTTAAGGATTGTTGGGATTTAGGGATGGGGGAGATTAGGGGGAGGGGGGTAATTGGGCCTCCTGTAACCTCACTCATACGACGAACTACAATGCAAGCGTTGTTTTATGTCGGTTTTCTGTGAGGCCGTGGTGTCACTACGGCCGAGCCGACACATTCGTGTCGAAGCATGGCCATGGCTCTCCCACACTTATAATATACCTACTGTTAATGTTATACTTATACTGTAATATTTTTAGCACCATTCATACCAAGTAAACTTGTAAGGGTGAAACTGAGTGATACTAATAGAGTACTAAACTCTCCTTCTGAAGATGACATGGACGATGATCGATCGGGGCTAAACAATGATAATAACGCTAACGACGACAATGAGCAACTCAGACTTGAAGATGATGACAGTGATAACTTTCCAATAAGGACTGAGAAAACCCAACCAAAGAAAGCGATGTTACGGTCAAAAAACAAAAAGAAAAGTAATAAGAATGCAAAGAAAGATATAAAAAAAAACCAAGAAACAAAAATAATATAAAAAAAAACTAAGAAAAAAATTTAGAGGACACAACAAATACAAAGAAACGTAATTTTACATCGATGTGATATAAATATTTGGAATACTATGTAATGGCTGGTTTTATTAAATAAATAGTAGTGTTCAGCTCCAACTACACCCGGCTGCTATGTTCTCACTTTTTATTTAACTTTACTGCCTTAATAATAATCTCGCCCTGTGAAAAATGAACTACTTATCAACCTACCTATTTCCAAAGTTTGTAACGTAACTAAACTAAACGTGGTCTGTGAAAATCGCCTTGTGCGATATTACCACCCATTGTACACAAATATTTTTTGTGTAAATCCAAATATTGGTCCAAATAGAGCTTTTAACAATTTTTTTTTCTTTCTCTCTCTTTCTTTAAAGCGCAGACTTATGCGTGGTTTGCTCGAAAAGGCGATTACATAGCTCAACGCTGTCAACGTGCTATTAAGTACATTTCCACTGGCGCAGGTATACGAATATGACCCACCGACTCACGACTATACCTTCGTATGCTGCATAGGTAACGTGGCACGACCCAGCGACGCGGCGTACGGAGTCGTGGGTCTTCGTATATTCCAGTGGAAACGTTGGCCCACGTTATCAAACAAAAAACCGCCGGAACCGCGTGCTCTGGTGCCCGTGCACATCATTCGCCAGCTCACCAACATTCCAGTTATACTCCTGTCATTTTTAGACCAGCTACTAAAATATGGTCAGCTTAGAAGTACTCAACTGTCAAACACCAAGCGGTCACCGGTGACTGCAACTTATTGTTCTATAATTGTGTCTACAAAGACGGTACTCGACGAGTTAAACTGTTTCGTTTCAGAAACAGTTAATAAATCAGGAAACTAAACTAACAGATTTACTAGAACTTAATATCAACAGGATGTTAATCAATTTTGATTCGCTTGGAAGGTCAAAATATGCGTCTAACTCGTTATTTTCACCAACCTTAACCTGAAATAAAGACTCATAACGGACAAACTATGATCAAATTGCATCTCGACAGGTTCTTGTAATTATATTATAATAAATGTAATTATATTATTATATTATATTAATATATTATAATAATTTAATGTGTGGTACCTCGACGACGGTACCCTGGGAGGCGATGCAGATACAGTTTTAAATGATTTCCAATTTTTAAAAAACGAACTTCATGCTATTGGCCTTGACCTAAATTATTCCAAGTGTGAGATATTTTTACATGACTCTACCGACAGACAGATCATATCAAAATTTACTACTTTTGCGCCTAATATCTCGGTTGTCGATAAATGTTCGCTTCGCCTCCTAGGTGCGCCCGTCTTCGAGGACTCTTTTCAAAGTTTTATTGATGAAAAAATTCAAAATTTTTCTGTCGTTTCAGAAAGACTGTATCACATTAGAATGCATTCGGCCTATACTATTATTCGTTTTTGTTGTTTTGGTCCCAAATTTATGTATTTTTTGCGCTCGACCCACCTCTGGTCTGCACCCCTTCTTTTAGAAAAAATTGACCGAAGCATTAGACAAACTTTATCCTTAATTTTGAATGTGGCTCTCGACGACCGAGCCTGGACACAAGCTACTCTGCCTGTCCGCATGGGTGGGCTTGGCGTCCGTAAAATTTCCAGTGTAAGCCTACCAGCTTTCATATCTTCCGCCCATGGTACTGAAGAATTAACCAGGAAAATTCTTTCTCAATCACTGGTTAATTTTGATGTACCATTTTTAGTGGAAGCTGTGAAAGCTTGGAAAATCGCTTGCCCAAATATTGACCCCCCCGTCAAATCACTCTCCCAGAGACAATGGGACGAGCCGCTCTGCAGGAAAGTGAGCGAAAATCTATTGAACTCCGCTTGTTCAACTGCAGAGCGAGCTCGCCTTTTGGCTGTGGGTGAGTGGGAGTCAGGGTTATGGCTTCTTGCTTTGCCTTCGTCCAACTTAGGTACTTTGTTGGACGACACCACATTCCGCGCTGCAATTTGTTTAAGGCTTGGGGCTTCATTTTGTTCACCTCATCGTTGTCGTTGTGGTGAAGATGTCAACAGCCTTGGACACCACGGCTTGTCGTGTAGCCGTA